TGTATTCAATTCTATTAAAAAAAGAATGAAAGTTGTTAATGAAATGCAGAATATGAGCCACACACACACAGAAACCCTGGCTTGTTAGATTCCTGGTAAACAAATCCTTCACTTTTAATCTGTTAAACCATAAGTTACAAACCAACTTTCAAATTCAAATGTTATAATGCTACTAATTAAGTCACCGTAACTACTCCAATAACACTTTCATCCCAAGCAAGGTCCACAATGCTCAGCACCAAAACCAAGTCCTGGTAAATCTTCATATGAAGAAGGAAAACAGACTTCCAGTACATTTTCAAATAGCAACTGATATACTGAAAGAACATCACAGATTTAGAATTTCTCACTAGCTAACTATTTTTTTAACTAATGCTATTTGGGTAACTACGGTGAGGTATTCAAACGACAATCAACATCCACCAACCAACGAGCCAATGTTTCTTGGTGTATAGCCGATGTGCACTGCATTCAAAAACCCTCAGATGACTGAGTATAAATAGCAGCTAACTAAAAGCCAAGAGGAATGAATTCTTTCATCTGAGCAATTCCTGCCAGGTATGGGGGCAAAATGAAACAAAGTAAACAAGCAACCTCTGTTTTATTTTTCTATATAATCAATAAATTCAAGCTACAAATCTGTTGCCTGCCAAACTCCATCTTGATCACCAATAATTTCTTTCTCGGAACAGTGTGCACCACCACCACTTACATAAGTGCAAAGAGAACTTGTGTGAGTGAAAAGGGCAGAGGAGGGATTTTTTGCTGTTGTCTAAGAATCAAAATAATCAATAAAAAAGGCATGTGAAGTGCATTTATACTACAGGGGTTAAGGGTACAGGGTCTTATGTCAAATCAGCCAGTGAAGTAAACTAGCATGAGTATAATCAAATATAAAAGCTCTACTCTAAAAGTGGCATATCTGAGCAGAGCTTCTGTTAATCAGAAAAGTATTACAGAAAAGCCGAATCAAGACATCTGATTATATCAATCAATGAAGGCATGCCACCAAGAAATCTAATGGCATTGGCTACAGTGGTAGATGGACATTCTCATACATACTGTTACCCAACAAGTATTTCAAAATCCTAGCCTAAAACATAACTCAACCACTCTTAAAACAACCTCTTCTACAAAGGTAATTAGTTGCTTTAAGGAGATTTTGTACAGGTTTATGACACCAATAGCTTGCTGTGCTGGTCAAGCTCAACATTTTCACAACTTTAAAAAACAAAACCTAACATATCTTACTATTTGGCCAACCAACCAACCACATATAGACCAAATGTGTGTACTAATCATGTCATAAACCCAACAAAAATCTACAGTTCTTTGGTACTTTAGTTGCACATCTGGATGCGATGGAATGTCAATCCATGTCCCAGAAATGTTCAGAAAATTATTCATGTGTTCAAGATTCTCAAAGAATGCATGGCTTACCAACCACATTCAACTGTTTCCAAGTCATATGCTGACTGCATATGGCATATATTAAAACCACTAGCACACAGTTCATGGAATGATTTTCCTATCATTTCTGAGCACCGAGGTTTAAGATTCTCTCCACATCTCTCCATACAACTAGTCAATGGGAACTAAGTTGTTAATCAACAAAAATTCCATACTGAAACGAATGGAATGACTTGCATCAGCTGCAAAATGTAGCAGTAATAATAACAATGCTAAAGTTACATGTGTCATCACAAGTCAAAGGTACACAGATACAGAAAGAGAGAGAGAGAGAGATGTCAAATTGACTAGTAACTGGCAAGTCAGAGCGAGCAGCATCATTATCATCATCGACCATTTGTGTACCTCCGTCCACGTTCCCGCTTGTATTGCCCGCCATATTTGCATCTGTTTCCTGCGAGCTCGGTAATCTCAGGAATCCAGCTGGCAAACACCGCCTATATAGGATATAAGAACCAGCAAACCACCAACCAGATTCTTAAGTTAACGCTCACATCATAACCGAGTGCTACAATACCATGGAACCTAAAATTAGCATAGGCCCCATTCTCACTGCTAAGCATATCTGGATTTCTTAATATTTTCAAATATTCTTTGCAAATAAATGGCTAAACACCATATAATACCAGTTACAAGAGAGCACAGATTCTCTAAGACCTGTGCAGAAGTGCTCCTTACACTACTGCTTTGAGTTAAAGTAATATGATGTCCAGCGTTATGCAGTACAGATTTAACGTGAATCCAGATTAAGCCAAGAGTAAAAGCAAGGCTACACTCCAATACAGCCTATCCAAATGGACACCACAAAGACATCAAAGTGATAAATACACACTGGACAATGCCTAGTTTCTGGATAGCTGCTATTTATTTATACTACAACAGCGACGTTACTTATTCAGTTTTGGCAGGAAGATTAGAGAATGCTCAACAGATGTTTTCCAGCCTGAACTACTCTACTCTGCTGTCTTCTAAAGTGATGAGTTGCACTAGCCTGATCTATATATGAATGTTTCACAACTTGCTCAATCTCCCTCATCAAGCCATTTTCAACACACAGCACAATAAAGGGGACAAAGCAATTCTCTAAAACACTGGCTTTTGATCTCAACCAGAATGCAGTTAATCAACTTGAAGATTTCAAAGCATTTATCCACCATGAAATCATCAGATCTCATTCCAATTTTATCACTCAAAGAACAGTCATTTAAGAAACATCACAGAAATAAAACTAAATTTCCACATATACTGCATCAAAACCATCTCTCTGGGTATGTCATGCATTGAGTAAACAATCTTATGAAGAAGAGTGCTGAGCATTCAGTGAGATCCCAAGTATGGCGATTTTCGTTCCCATCTATTTGACAAAAAATAAAGCAACTTTCTTAATGTGATGTACTTAACTTGGTATATTATTATTCAGTGGTTATTGAAAACTTGTAGTCATACAAAATGCTTATAATATTGTTTGAATTAGTTGTGTATATATATAAAGGAACTGGCAGAATTAAGCAGCATGGGACTCTCCTTCAAGCACACTAATATTAATGTGACATCACATAACTTTATAACACTGAGAAATTATCTCCAGTCTTCAAAGACAAGATGAAGCATGACATAGTAAAAAAAGTAAAATAGTAAAGCTATCCCTCTACCAGGCCGTGAAGGCCCATGGGGTTGTGAGACATTGAGGGTCCCACAT